CAAATCATATCCAAGGCAATTTTCTGGGCAGCCTTCAGAGAGTCACCCAGGCTGAGAAGCCAGCCAATTATGCCTGATCATTCTCTGCAGCCCTATACTCACAAAAGACAAGTCCAGACTGGCCCAATGTAGACAAATGAGCAGTTCTATTATCTCTGAAAGGCAATCTAATTCCCTTCAAATTTAAAAGTCTCCACAGTTTCCTAACAGGCCTCAGTGGGGCTCATGCAGAATTTAATAAGTTCACGGTGAGCCCAGCTTGCTTTCATTATCATTTTTTTTTGCCATGCAGTGGACAGAATTTTCATTACGACTCAAGGATTCTTCTGTATCTGATTCTCTAAGATCATGTCTGCTGAGTTTAGACATCAGGTTGAGAACTGAGTCAGGTCTAATGGACTGGACTGAGGTCTGAGAGAGCTTTCATTGACTGAGAGAAAGTGTCTCTGCTAATCAGCTGGGGCAGGGATCAAACAGAAATATCACAGGGAAAGGGAACTCACAGCAAGGATGAGAGCCTTGCATTCCACTCCCAGCCCCACGGCTGGCCTACTCTAGGACACTGAGCAAATTTCTTGGGCTCCCTGTGAGTTAGTGATCTCCTCTATGAAAGGAAGAGAAGCACTGTGAAAAGGAAACTCAGATCAACAAAAGTTTTACTATATCTTGAATCATTGCAACATTCTTTAAATTTAACCAATACAACAATCCTGGGAAGCTTATATATTTATTCAACGAATGAAAAGGGTGAGACTACTGGGACTGCCCTGGTGGCCCATTGCTAAGATTTCATGCTCCCAATGCAGGGGGCCTGGGTTCGAACCTTGGTAAGGGAACTAGATCACACATACCACAACAAAAGATCCTATGTGCTGCAACTAAGGCCCGGAGCAGCCAAATAAATAAACAATTAAAAAAAAAAGACTGAGACTATGTAATTGGTGATTGCATCTTATTGCCATGAAATAAGATTCCACACCATGAATGAGCCATATAGGGTCAGGGAATGAGAGATTTGTGTGAATGTGACTGAAAGTGCATTCAACTTTTCTGGAAAGCAATCTAATGTGTTTCAGAACTTTAAAATATTTGACCAATTAATTCTAATCCTGAAATCCATCCAAATGATAGAATCAGAAATTTAGACACATGTTGTAATAAGAAAGACCAGAAATAGACAAATTGTCCATCATCTCATACTGGTTAGAATGACCATCATCAAGAAGACAAGAGTTAATGAGTGTTGGTGAGGATGTGGAGAAAAAGAAACCCTAAAGTACAGTTGATGCAAATGTAAATTGGTAAAACCATCACAGAAAACAGTATGGAGGTTCCTCAAAAAAGTAAAAACCTGAACTACCATATGATGTAGTAATCTCACTTATGGTTATATATCCTAAGGAAATTAAATGAGAGTCTTGAAGAGGTATCTATACTCCCAGGTTCATTGCAGCATTATTCACAATAGTCAAGATATAGAAACTACCTGTCAGTCAATGGATGAATGAATAAAGAAATATATACAGCCATCATTCAGCCATGAAGGAAAGAAGGAAATCCTTCCATTTGTGACAAGATGGATGGACCTTGAGGGCAGTAATGGTCAGTGAAATAAGTCAGACAGAATGAAAAATTCTGAGATATCACTTATATGTGGAATATAAAAAAGTTGAACTCATAGAAACTGAGCAGAATAGTGGTTAGAAGGGGTTGGGAGTGAGGAAATAGGGAGATGTCAGTCAAAGCATACAAACTTCCAGTTATAAACCTGGGGGATCTAATGGATCACAGCATGGTGATTAAAGTTAACAATACTGTATTATATAATTGAAAATTGCTAAGACAGTAGACCTTAAATATTCTCACCACAAAAATAAGTGGTAATTATGTGAGGTGATGGAGATGTTAGTTAACACTACGTGGGGGTAATCATTTTGCAACATGTCAAGGCAACATGTTGTATGCCTTAAACTTACACTTTATATGTCAATTATATCTCAATAAAGTTGGAAAAAATAAAATAACTGTAAACTATAGAATATTCATTGAGTCAGAAATCATGCAGCCATTTAATGAGTTACAGAAGAGTACTTAATAAAATGGCATATATTCAGTAGTTTATCAGGAAAAATAAGTTATAATATTGAATATGAAGTGTGATCAAAATTTTTAGATTAAAACAAAGTAGAACAACGACTGGAGGGAAATATGCTATAATGTTACAGAGGTTTTCTCTGGGAGTAAGAAATGTTCACATATTCTATAATAAACATGATTGTCATAATCAGGAGATACACAATAAAAGCTATTTTATATCCCTGGATTTTGTGTTTACCCACAAAATGCTATCATGATTTTTATTTAAATGAATGATACCTTACATAGGAAATTTTTATTAAAAGGGGGGACATCTCAAGGGAAACAAGACAGAGCAAAAGTGACATGGTTGGAACCATCCCCCCATGAGCTTATAGCTCATCTCACTGGCTAAGTGGAAATAAAGACCACCGGGATGAGGGTGGAAAGCCTGACACACAATACCAGAGCAGTTGCTAAGGGGCACCAAAAGCTGCTGTTGGCTTCGGGAAGTGATGGAGCTGCTAGATATGAATTTTTCAATTTTATGAGAATGATAGAAATCTGAAATAAATCTTCAGTATTTTCTTTTTAAGATAAATGTTTTGAAATAAACGCCTGCAGCGTGGATGGATGGTTAGTGTCTATGTCCTGTCTTAGAGCCGATCATAAATAATGCTGAGAAAAATAGCTTTCACCATTCTAAAAAGCACCTTTATTTTTTACTCTTAAGAGCTTGGAAGATTATATTTTTGATGCGTTAAGCTAGATTTTTAAAAAATTCAGCTGTAAATATCAAGAGGAGTGTAGAGATTGTCTTCAGAGAGACTACTCAGGGCTTCACTTAGAAGCTAATCTTACTTTCAAGAAGTGTCAGAAAACCTGTGGTCACATTTAATGGTTAGAATTCAACTCCAAGTTTAAAGTATTTGATAGATTTAGAATTGAAGAAAATCCTTTGGTCAATCTTCAAGTGAAATGATTAATTGTCCTTCAGGTCAACAACCAAGGAAGGTAAGTCATTATAAATCCAAACTTCCCAATACCAGATTTGCTTAAAAATTTTTCTTCCCACTTTGGTCTTTACATTATAGAGTCTATAACTTTACCGTAGAACAGCTTGATCAACAACCTCAGTTTCCTAGTTCACTACTGGATGAGAACAGGGTTACACTGACGCAGACACAGTGAATACTCAGACACATCCTTCATCTTTTTAAGTGTTAGCCTCACTACACTACAGTGACTTAACAGCATCCATATACTTCTCATTTAATATGTCATTAATTTTCTCTCTTATGTCTTAAACAGGGTTCACACACTTGAATGGAAAGATGAATAAAGGACCTGTACATACTCCATCTAACCAGGGAAGCCATGACTCAGTACTTCAGATACTTCACATCTGACTCATCAAGATAAACCAATATCCTGCAGTTTTATGCAAAATATCTCAACTTCTAAACGTTGTCTCTCTTTCATTTTTTAAAGCACACATCACATGCCAGTTCAAATATTCCCATAATGCAGACAATTTTGCTAGTGTTTGTTTCGAGGGTTGGTGAGAATTGCTGATTAACCCCAATATAGTTTAGTTACGTCCAAGAAGGGGATGAGTTGGAATATTCCCGGGGCTGACAAAGAAGGTCTGGGGAAGACATTTCATCTTTTTGTGGAAAAGACAGCATGGGATTTACACTGCCAAGTGGTGTTTGGTTGAGTTGGGACCTCTGAGGATGGCTGGAAAATATATGGAAATGTCCCAACTCTAAATACCATGAAAGTCACAGTTAGGTACTCACTGTGGCTATCATTCTGCATAAAATAAAGATGAAGCCTTCTTCTGAGAGTCTCCCCCATGCTCTGCAAGAATGCTTATGGGTTTATCTTCACATAAGGCTGAGTTTCCCTATTTTATTCACCCCTCATTCCTTCCTTTATAAAATGTTCTGTAATGGAAAAAAAAAAGGCCTTCACAAAGCTTATCTATTAGAAGTGTGAAAGAGCCATTTTTTTTCTGCCCAAGTAGCTCATAAAGTAACAGACAAACTGTCAGAGAAAATAGACTTCATCATGGTGAAAATCTTAGCTTGGCACCCATCTATCATAAAGCAATCTTCCAGAAATCTTGAAAACCTTCATTAAATTTCCTGTCTCCCTCCTGACAGTTATAAAATGTTAACAATATCACTCATGATGTAGGCATCTTCAGAAATTCTTTGTCCAACCCAACCTCCCCTTGCCATCACCCACCCCCTTTTCTTTGCCAAAATCTATGGAAACATGAGATATAGCCATCTTCTTTACACACCCTTCTGGGGATTTGGCCCTTGCAGGAGGTTAGAGGAGAAAGCAGTGGTCATCTTGATGACACTGACCAGGCTCTTTGGCTACAAGCTGCAAGGACCAAATGGCCCTGCCTCCAGATTCCTTCTCCAAATGGGACACCCATTTTGAAGTTCAAGGACATGATCCTCAAAAAATAACTCCTGATACTTTTTTCTTCCCTTTTTCTCTTGTCAGTCCACCAAGTTACAAGTCTTCATCTGCCCATGATCGTGAGTAGTGGGGACAGTGGGTCGCACATCTCCTCATGTGTATGAGTCATCTTTCTAGAGGAAAAATTCCCCTATGGACCTTGCTGGCCCAACTTTTCCAACTCCAGAGACCAGGTCAGCAATATGTCATACACCATCCCTCAGAAGAAGAAGATATAAGGGTCCTTCATTGGAGGCAACACCAAGAAGAAAAACCAGAGGAGGTACAGAATTTACACCAGGAATCAGAAGAAATGCCCAGTTTTGAAAGCACAAACTCATCTGTGAAAGGCACAGGTGGTGACAACAGCAAAAAAATCTTTGTGGAGGTTTTTCAACACATCTCTCAAGTGAGTGGAGCCTGACCATGCTAAGCCATCATCTCACCTGCAAAAGGAACTGGTGCATCTTTATCCAGGGCGACCAACGGTGGGTCCAAAATGACTGTGTCGTTGTTCTCTGTTATGACTCCGTGATATGAAGTCTCAATCCATGGCTTGTGCTTGTTCACTGGAAAACAGTGGAAACAATAAAACAAAGACTGACTTTTAATATCATCATTTGAATAACTAATCCATAATAATATTGTGAATTTGGTAAAATCCCATTATTTCTATTTCTAGATGTCTAGCATGTGTGTTTGTGTGTGTCAGTCAGTCAGTCATGTTCAACTCTTTGTGACTATCCAACCCATGGACTGTAGCCTGCCAGGCTCCTCTGTCCATGGAATTCTCCAGGCAAGAATACTGGAGTGGGTTAGCATTTTCTTCCCAGGGGATCTTCCCAACCCAGGGATTGAACCTGGATCTCCCGCATTGCAGGCAGATTCTTTACCATCTGAGTCAGCAGGGAAGCATGCAGATGCCTAGTATAGATATTTTAAATAATTGATCCAAAGCTTTATTTCTCAAATGCCACTATCTATTCATAGATGTTTCAGAGTTAAAGATTGTTATCAATCAACAAAATAGCAGATTACAACTGCGTACTGGGATTTTTTACCTCAACCTTATCTGATCCGTCATTAGGAATTAGTACTGAACTTTATATACATATATATGGATAAGTACCAAAATATGTGTGAAGATATAGCACGTATTTGAATATTTTCTGATCAATAAAAGATTGAGTCTATCCAAATTGTCTAAATCACCTAGCATTTGAAGTTGTTCTTCAATAATTTGACCAGCTGAATGATACACTATATAGTATACAATTAATACATTTAAAATATGTTTAGTAGTTGAGGTATATCCTCCCAAAACATTGTATTCTTAACTTCCAGTACCTTGGAATGTGACCTTATTTGAAGATAGAGTCTTTATATAGAGGTAATAAAGTAAAATGAGGTTATTAGGGTGGGACCTAATCCAAAATGACTGGTGTCCTCATGAAAGGGGGAAATTTGTACAGAGAGGGGCAGACATACACACAGGGAGATCACCATATGAAGACTGAAGCTGTGCTTCCACACCTGAGGAACTACCGAAAGCTACCAGGGAGACTTTCAGAGCAAGCATGGTCCTGCTGACAATCTGATTTCAGACTTTTGGCCTAGCACTGTGAGACAATAAACCCCTGAAACCTATTTCTGAAGATTGAATCAAACCCAGGGAAGAGAGCCCCTCTGCCTAGAACAGGTCTTAATGTGGCAGCGGGCTCATCCATGCTCACACATTGGCATTCAAACCAGTGCTTCATTATGGACTCTGGAAGAATTACAGCCACTCTGGGCTGTCCCCGTGCTCCTCTGCTCTTTTATTAGCCATCAACACAAATGAAATGTAAATAATTTGCAACTGTTGGGAAAAATAATTAATCTTTTTTTCCTTTAATTAAACCCAGGGGCCTATTCATTAGAAATGTGTACAAAAGATATGCCAGGAGCTCACCCAATACTTCAGATTCATGTGCCACTCGTCTCAGTGGCAGACAACAGAATCTAGAGTCATAGTTGCTGGGTTTCAGCCTTGGCTTAGTCACTTGAGGGCTGATCCCCTGCAAGTCCATTGGCCACTCAGTATCTCAACTCCCTCAGTTGTAAAATGGGGATGATGACACCACCCATAGGGTTGTCATGTCATTCAGGTATCCTGGGCTGGATACATAGCCCCTGACTTTTCACCACTCAGATTCACCCCTGCTCTTTGTGCAGTGACAGTATCTATAGGAAAGGTGCTTTATAGACCCTAATGTTGAGAAGTTGACACTTCTTCCTCATTAGTGAGGCTTTTCCTCTTTATCACTACTACTGTTAGTTGAGTACCTACCACACATTAGGCATTTAAGATACATTCTTTAATCTTCCCAACAACCCCTCTAGATACCCCTTCATATCATCATACAGGTGACGAACAGAGTCTCAGAGGGGCTTAAATATTCCATTTTTAGAAAATAAGAAGGTTCATTGCCCTAAAATTTCTTCATTCCTCTCCTACTTTCTAACTTCCTTCAGATCTATCTCAATTTTTGTTTTGTCAACATCATTAAACATTTGCATCTTGATGAGTAACCCAAACAAAATCTCTGCTTTGTGTATAGATCAAATCCTCAGGGTTGCAAATCAGTACATAAAATTGACATTATTTTGATTATGAGGATAAAGTTCATGGCTAATCCAAGTATTGGGCAAGGATTACTTTTCCTTCTTAGAGGTCCACCTGTCAATTCAAGAACATCATTCTTTGTATCCAGATCAGTTGGATTCTTGATTCATTTATTCCATCAAATGGCTGAGTTGTCCTCCATTTTAACTCGCATATTTGGAACCAGCCTCCTTTGTATATTTTAGGTGTTCTGAACTTAATGATTTTCTTTTTTTATTTTTGTCAATTAATGAAACACAGGAATTCTTCCCCACATCCTGACAATACTACAGATTTTAATCTTTCCATATATTACTTATCCCTCATTTGTAAAATAGAGACACTTACTTCATTGGAATAGTGTGAAAAACTGCACAATCATTTAGTCAAAGCTAGTACCCCTGGTACAACGAGGCATTTAAATACTCTTAAGTCCCCCTAGCTCATCTCATGCTCTGAGTGGTTGAGATGTACCTAACACTTCAGAGGTATTTAGCTCAGCTTCATTCATTCAACAAATATCTATGGAGTACTTATAATGCGCAAAAAGAGTCTAAACATTGGCAGTAAAATGGGGACAAAATGTCGCTGAAAAGAGCATTTGACAAAATTCAACATCCATTTATAACTAAAGCCACTAGCAAATAAGGAGTAGAAAGAAACTCAGCTAGAGAATTTTTATAAAAACCTATAGCTAACATTGTAATGATTAAAGAGTGAATGTTTACCCACTCAGTTTGGAAATGAAAAAGTAAAATTGTTTTTATTCTCAGAGAACATGCTCATCAGTGAAGCAAATTCTATGGAATCTACAAAAGTGCCACTAGAACTAGTATATGAGTTTATGAAAGTCAGAGGATAGAAAGTTGATCTATAAAAATCAATTTGTATTTCTATGTGTTTGAAATAAACAGTTGGAAGTTTGAATTTAAAAATATGAATATTATAGCAACAAAAAACACAAACATTTAGAAATAACTTTCACAAAATACATGCAAGATCTGTATATTGAAAACACTAAGATATTGCTGAGAGAATTTAATGAAGACCTGGAGAGGTCTTAGTGGTAAGATAGGCAATGTTCACACTTTAGTAAACTTGATATAGTTAAGATGTAAACTTTGTCCTACTTGATCTGTAAGTGTCAATGCAACCCAAGTCAAAATAATAGTAGAATTTTTAAAACAGATAAGCAGCTAATCCTAAAATTTTCATGAAAAAGACCTAATATAGTCAAAACAATTTTGAAAAGAAGAGCAATGTTAGAGGACTTAAACTACTTGATTTTAAAACTTCTTATAAAGCTACTCTAATCAAGACAGTGTGATACTAACATAAAGATAAGAATAGCATTGAAACAAGTATACTATCAAGGGTTAAACAGATCACCAGCCCAGGTTGGATGCATGAGACAAGTGCTCAGGGCTGGTGCACTGGGAAGACCCAAAGGGATGGGATAGGGAGGGAGGCGGGAGTGGGGATCGGGATGGGGAACACATGTAAATCCATGGCTGATTCATGTCAATGTATGGCAAAAACCACTACAGTATTGTAAAGTAAATAGCCTCCAACTAATAAAAATAAATGAAAAAAAAAATAGACATATAGGTCAAAAGAAAGACTGAAGAGTATAGAAACAGACATACATACATAGGGTCAATTAACTTCTGACAAAGGTTCCAAGATAATTCAATGGGGGAGAAGATAATCCTTTCATTAAATGCTGCTTTGGATATCCATAAGCAAAAAAAAAAAAAAAACAAAACCTTCAATCCTATTTACTACACATCATACACAAAAACTGTCTTTAAATAGATCATAGTCTTAAATATAGGAGCTAAAATTACAAAACCTTTAAAAAAAGTATAGAAAAAAATCCTGAGTATCCTTAGGTTAGGTGAAGATTTATTAGAAGGGACAAAAGCAAGTATGAATTATAAAAGATAAAGTTGATTCATTCAACTTTATAAAAGAAGTAGGAGAAAACATTAAATAAGCATATCTCATAAAGGGCTTGTATCCAAATTTTAAAAAGAACTCATACAAAAAAAAGACAATCTGTTTTCAAAAGGGCAAAAATGTGAATACACTTATGACCAGAACAAATACATAAACAGCAAATAAGAATGAGAAGAGATAGTCAGCATTAATAGCTATCTGAGATATGTAAGCTAAAGCCACTGTGGGATATCACCATGTCACTGCTAGAATGGTTAAAACGAGACTGACAATACCAAGTTGTGATGAAGATGTAGAGCAATTGAATCTCACCCGTTGCTGGTAAGAATGTAAAATAATAAAATCACTTCGAAAACAGTTTAGCAATTTCTTATAAAATGGCTCAGCAACTCCATTCCTAGTATTTACCCAAGAGAAATGAAAACATAAATTACATAAAAACCCTTTCAGGTAAATGTTCATAGACTTTTTGTTCAGAATAGTGCCAAAGTGGAAACTAAAGTGGCCATCAACTAGCAAATGGATAAACAAATTGCAATATATCCATATAGTGGACACCTACTCAGGAATGAAAAGAAATCAACAACTGATCCAGATGACAAAATAGGTGAATCTCCAAAGTATTTCACTGGTGAAATGAAAGAAGTCAGACACAAAAGACTACATGCTGTGTGATGCCATTCATATGACATTCTAGAAAATGCCAATTGGGACAGATAACAGATCAGTAATTGCTAGAGTCTGCTTGCCAAGGAGTACAAGGAACTTTCTGGGATGATGGAACTATTCTATATCTCAATTGTGGTGATGGTTACACCTCTGTGTGCCTTGTTGAAACTTACCAATATGCATATTTAAAAAGAGTGAAGTGTATTGTGTGTAAATTATACTTCAATAAAAATGGGACAACAACAAAGTCCTTATCCTCAAGGGACTCTCAGAGTAGAAAAGGATCCGTGATACCAGGATAGTAAGAGATAGGTAAGAAGAGGAAAAGAAGAGTGCTTTGGAAAAAGAGAGGAGAAGCACTCATCCAACCATGGTAATCCAGAATTAACTCCTGGAGAAAGCAGATTCAAAGTCAAAAGCAGGAGGAATTAAGCAGGGATACAGGATATGGAGGGTCTCAAGCAAAGGAACATTGCATGGGCAAGGACTCAATGGTAAAGCACCTGCTACACCATGGGGAGTGGGTGGAGGGAGGAATATGAATAGTTACATTTGGTTGCAGACTACAGTTTGAGGGGCAAGGCCAGCCAAGAGGCAGGACTGATGGATATCATCTACATCAACTAGGGATTACTGTCTTGCACACAATCATCCAGGAACTGCCTCCAAACTCTGTCTTTAAGCTACACTGGAGAACCATCTCTTTTCCAGAAAGAAGTAATAGATACTGACACTGGTGGCTTGGCCATAATTTCCTATTTAATCTCTTCCCTTCCCTGACAAATGTTTTGCCTTTGTATTTCAACAGACCGAGGCCAGTCAGCACACGCTTTGCTCCATTTGGTTGTAATTTCAGAACTGACTTCTCATCAGTTCTTCATAAGACAATGTCCCTGTTGGCTGTACAACTCCTCTTGAGGTTGAACTCTGTCCTTTCCACAACATTTCAGCCTCTGGAAAATGCCTGCATCTTTGCATCTATATAGAGGAAACACCAGTGTGATATTTCTGCTCCATTTACACAGAAATTAGATCTTGCACCCCCCTCCCCCCACCCGCCATGCGCCCTTAACTAGAGCACAGATGCACCCTGAGAATACTCCTTGGCTCTCGTCTCTCTGCTTCCACCTCTGAAACACTGCATTAACACTCAATCCAAGCTCCAGTGCCAAGTGGTTGATGATTCATTCTTTGAATCTTCCCACTTATACCCTACAGTTGACCCTCTGGCCATTGCTAGGCTCCTTGAACCTCAGAACTACAATACTTCCTCCTGGGTAAAAGTGAATTGTGAGTAAAAACACACTATACTGCTTGCAAAATGCTCCAGTGAGGTTAACTACATCCTAGTAAACAGGTCACTCTAATTACACACTGTTCTTTTGCTTCTTCTGTCCAATTTCCCCTCTGACTTCATCCCCTGGTAGAGCTGCCTAGACCAGGGAATTCATGGGTGGAGTAGGCTGCACCAATTAATTGGATCTTTAA